ATATTTTCGTAGATTTCAATGGAATTGAAAAAATGTGAGAGCTGGAATGAAAGATCTAATATTTTCGCTGAACAGTTCTCAGTTATATATACGTATCTGTCACTTGCAAATTTAAAGACGCTTGGTATAACGATTTACAAACATTTATCCGCTCTTCGAGAATATGATCCTTCTACTTTGCCGCCTATTAAGTCTCCCATAACGTTACTAAAATGTATATCCTCGATTAATATGCCGATCGGAGAGGATTATGGATTGAACAAGGTATTCTAAATATTTTATTATAATTTGTACTGAATAAATCAAATTTAAAGTTTTTCTTAATGATTTATATAATTATTTAAGGTAACTCAAGGTGTAGTGAAAGTACATTGTATTGAAGGTAATCATGTGACAATCATGAAAAATGAAAAAGTGGCGGCTGCAATTAATGAAGAATTACCATTTACAATTTGATTTAATTTTTAAGTCATTTTAGTTAATATTTGATAAACAATTATCAATATTTGATAAACAGATTGCAATTAGCACAAAAAATGTTACAAATATCTAATATCAGCTCAAATTATAATAAATATAATATAAATTTATTTATACTATTATATAATTTGAGTTGATATTAGATATTTGTAACATTTTTTGCGCTAATTGCAATCTGTTTATCAAATATTGATAATTGTTTATCAAATATTGATTTATGTATAATAAAAAAGTGAAATTTGGTTAATTATTATAGACCAGCTAATATAAATTCAAGTTCATATTTGTGATATTTAGTATACCTCAGGTGTCTATACAAATTTTGATAAGCTGTATATATCAACGCTGTACTAGTTATTTAATGAATTCATTAAATCGCATGTAGACTAAGCTTTTAAACTGCACTCAAATATTACATGTTCATCACCTATTTTTATTATTCATTTTATGTTGAAGGAATCTGTCCAAAAAACTGATAATAAACATAATAACAAACTCAATCAACGGGCGAAGTAAGAGTCAACCACATTTTTAAATTTTTCATCACGTTTTTTTGTTCTTTAATTTATCCTTTTTATTAACTAGAACTTTACCAATGACATTTTTAATACTTTTGATTGTTCAACCATACGGAAATTATGTTTCGAGATCAAGTACTAATTAGTAAACCGGATGGGAAGAGACCATTGGGTAGACCAAGACGTAGATGGGAGGAAAATATTAGAATGGACCTTAACGAAATGGGGTACGAGGGTCACAAATGGAGGGATCTGGCTCAGGGACGGGAACAGTGGCGGGATTTGGTATTTGCGGCAATGAGCTTTCGAGTTCCTAACGCCTAATAATAATAATAATAATTATATTATTTTTCGTTATACTAATGTCTGAAGAGGGCTCAAACCGGTAGCCGAAACTTGTAACTTGTAACTTATTAGTTTATAGTCTAATTTTTTGCGAGATGTTTCATCGCTGTTAATATAATATATAATTTTATGAAAAATTTAAAAATGTGGTTGACTCTTACTTCGCCCGTTGATTGAGTTTGTTATTATGTTTTGAAAGAGTCCTTTGAATTTGTTTATTTATGATAATAAACGTTTTTGTACGTCTTATGCAAAATATAGCAACCTGAAGTACAGAAAATTTTAAAAATATAAACTTAGTTTATATTAGCTAACCTAATCGTTAAAATTTCACTTTTCTTATTATTATTTAGCTGATAGAAGATGTTTGCAATATTAGAGCAAATAGTTTTTATTGTTGGTATAGCTTTTATTGGTGATTTATTGTTGATGTAACTAATTATTATATAATAAACAATAATGTTGCAAAGGAATTTTTTAATGTTATTCGAAAATTGTGCCCTCCATGTAAATTTGATAAATAATAAAAAAATTACTGATAATAATAAGAAACATTTTAGAGACCGATCTAATATAGAAATAATTTCCTAACGTCTTAAACAATTCCTCGATTTCGTTTTTTGAATCTCAAACTACTTTTAATGTAGCTTTTGTTTACTGCGTCGGTGTCAAACTCCGGTGCGGCCACATATTCTATTTTTCGTTCTTTCGTGTCGTAGTGATCCGGATTCAGGTAGAGTTTATTGTTGCGTATGTAATTTCGTACAGATTCGATCGATAATTGTGACTGCTCGATTTCATCACAATTATCTTTCTTCATTTGGATACCAAATTTGTTCACAGACATCATCATATATCATATCAATCTCACATAAATGTGAGTACTTAAATAAATATTATAAAGGACATATAAGAGTCAAATAATTATTTAAAAGTGTAAATGTTACATCAATAAAATAAAATTTAATTGAAAGATTAGATAAACATATGTATAGACATTACATGTTTCGGCTTTTTATTAAGCCTTCAGATAATCCTTAACATTTTACATCCATTTTTTCGTCTGTAGTTTACACTTTATTCATGATAAAAAGTTGAATGTTCGATGGATACCTTCCACAGGAAACGAAATTTCCCTCTCAATCGATTTACAGATTGAATGTTTAAATTTTCTAGACATTGCATATGTTACAAAATTGACGTTATTTGTTACATGTGAGAAGGAGAGTCTTTCCAATTTATCTCTTTTTAAATACTCACCGTACACTCGAACAATTCATTGTGATAGTCAAAATTTGTCAAAAATATAAATTGTGGATAACATTTGGTAAAATATATAAAAGTCGTAAATAAATTATGAGTAATAAAACAAGACAAAAAGAGTAAATTAATAATATTCACAGTCCAAAAGTTAAAATTAAAATTGTAAAAAACTACTGTTTTAAATGAGTAATCTGAGATATGTTATCGATATGACTTCTCACTACTTATTGATTTTAAATTTTCGATAGATTAGTGTGACACAAATATAAACAGTGTCAAACTTTGTTTATAATAGATATATATGCTTTATTGAGACGCTCTGTATCGGTCTCTGTATTTGAAGATTAAGGCTATTGTCTTGTTTTTTAATGATTATCATTTCAGAGATCAGTCGTTTATTGTAACATGGTTCTTCGTTTAAAACTTTAATGTTATCTCAATCGAAATCGTGTTGTGTCTGCATCCTATGTTCAGTTATCACAGAACGGTGTTCTAATTGATATATTTGCGATGTTCTGCAATTCTTGTTTTCAGTTATCTACCTGTTTGTCCAATATAAGATGCATCACATTTTTTGTAACAGATTTTGTAGACGACGTTAAATTTTGTCGATTGTCCTAGACGATCTTTTCGAACTTCAATAAACTTATTTAATTTGTTAGTACTGTGAAAACAAATTTTAATTGTTTCGATAATTTTGATTGTTATTTTGTTTAAATTTATCTGTGAACCCTGCAATAAAAGGTATCACAAATCATGATATATTATTTTTCAGTCCTTTATTCTCTTCTTTGTTACGTATTTTGAATTCTCTTTTTTGAATACGTTTAATTCTATTATTAATAGTGTCAAAGATAAATTTAAGTGGGTAATTATGTAATATTGTGTTGATTATGAATGTTATATTTTTCAAATAATGTTCTTTGTTGGAAAATAATAAAGCCCAGAATTAAATTGAAAATTATGCCTCTTTTCTGAGATATGGAATGGTTTGAAAAAAAGTTAATAAATCTATCCGAAAAAATTGTTTTTTATACCAATCAAAGTTTTGTTGTTCATTATTTTGACATCAAGAAAGTTAAGAGAGTTATCTCCAATTTCTAAAGTAAATTGTAGTCGAGAATGAACAAAATCGTAGCATTCAAAGAATGAATCTATCAATTTAGATGGAACTGCGACACATAGATCATCCACACATATTGGTAGTAAAAAAGAACTTGACTAGTGAACATATTTAGAGCTGTTTTTCTAATTTTGGCGTGACTAAGTCAGCAATAATAGCTGAAAGAGGAGAACCCATAGGTGTGCTGTAATTCTGTTTATATAACATTTGTTATAGTTTTGTTGAATATAAAATAGGTTGAGTTTAAAACTAACCGTATTGCCACTAAAAATTCCGTTTTAGATAAAGTACATTTGCTTGAAATGTAATTCTAGTTATCGTTAGTACAATCCTTGCAATTAATATATTTGAAAAGAGTGAAATTACATCTAATAATATTAATTTATAATCTTTGTTAATTTTAATTCCTTTTAAGTTGTCAACTAATTGAAAACTATTTTTGATGTAACTCTTTGCTTTAGGTATTCTATTAAGATATGTAAAAAGGACGCTAAATGATACTACGAACTGCCAATTGATGGAACTATAATTCTGAATGAACAATTTTATTTATGAAATTTTGATAAAGCATATATGCTCTCAGTAATATTCCATCACTACAATACAATTATCTGTATTGAGCAGCATTAATATAATTTTTCCATCTGACAAACTTTCTCAATGATGTTATCAGTTTTTTGCAAAAATCTCTTTTTATTATTTCGTAAGTTTCAGTATCTTTAAACATTTCTGTTACTTTTTTTATATAGAGATCTCTATCCAAAGCTACTGTAACATTACCTTTGTCCGCATGAGTAAATGTGATGTTCGGTTGTGATTTTAGATACTTTTTTGTGACTAATTCTAAATTTAATTAATGAAAATTTGTAATCGATGGGACTTGTGAAGAGAGGAGGAGACACTATGTTATTGAGTATTAAATGATTAATTATATCCATTTGCTTAATAATAGAAAATTTCCTATGTTCAACGCTCTTAATACAATCGAAAATGTTTTTCTTATTTCTATTAGGGAGAGCAAAGTTTCCACCTAATTGTAAAAAACATTGAACATCGAAAAGAATGGACAGCAAGCTTTATCGACAAATTCATAACCAAAGGTAGACACAGGTTATAGTTTCGTATTAAAAATCTAATCGAGTTTGTTACCAATTTGGCCTCAAATTGATTAATGTTTTGCTATCAGAAAACATTTAGTATTATTTATAAACAATTATTTTCTAAATAATTTAATTTTCAATAATTTTGTTTCTAAATCATTTAATTTTCAATAATTTTTGTTCTTACAGCAAAAAATTTGTTTTGATTAGGGATATTTGTCTGCTTTAATCCTTAAATGCCATTAGGAGTCCAAGGACCTCAAGGCTTTTTCAATCATATATATAATATATTTTATAATTAATAACACACATTCTATATATTTGTACATACACACACAGATATATACAGGGTGTTTGGAAATTAGTAATAAGTATTCGCACAGGAGCAGAAATAAACTGAATGGCATGGACTAAACTGAAAAAAAAGTCCGCAGTTATTTTACAATTGTCGCAATTATTGTCGATAGTCTGAGCTATTTTCATAAGTTTATAACTCAACCATTGCGACAATTGTAAAATGGTAAAAAACTCTTCTTCTCAGTTTTGTCCATTCTACCCTTGTGCGAAAGATTTATCACTAATTTTCAAACATCCTGTATATATGTGTGTGTGTGTGTGTGTGTGTGT